CAAAGTGGTGTATATCTTGATTCGCAGCGTACATACGTCGCGCGCGACGACATGACAAGTTACGATTGTCTTTTCTGTCTCTCTAATGACATACTTTTCTCAAGTTCGAATCAGTTAAGCTCGGTGGAGACACCGAATGACTAGCTAAGCATGCACATGCGATCACACGACGAGCTGCAAACTCCTCTGAGCAAAGTGGTTCACCCGTACTACGTACCATTTCGCAGCTTCACAGACGTTTAGAGGTATTTCCAAGATGAGACTAACTATTCAAAAAAAACTAACAAAGGACCAGCAATAGTGCAAAATGCCCCTCCAAGCCGAACAGGGCAACTTCGGTCTGATTAGGAATTCATCTTCAGAGTTTGGGCTCTAATCATGAATGAGACATCCGCGAAACGCTTGGTGCCACAGGTAGTAGTGCCAGGATACCCTAAATCCGTTGTCCTGCGGGAACGGCACCAAGATGTTGTCTTCGACGTTGACGCATGCATCCGTAGCGCGTTCGCCAACGTCGAGGATTCGCGCTAAGGGGTGTTAGTTGTATTCAAGGGGTCAAACTACGTCTAGGACAAGGTTTCACCAGATTCGTGGCAGGGGGTGTTTCGCAGCCAATGCCTCTATCTTGGCGTTAGGTGTTTTCTTTCCTACGAGATACGTTTTCCATGTTAACAGAACAAATCTACCTAATGTGGAAATGTTCTGAGCCAATCCTTACCCCCCCCCCCACCTTAGCAATTTCGGAATGGGCAATCAACCCGGTAGGTGAGTTTTGACAGAAAGCGGGAATCACAAATGTGAGGCAGTAAAGGACAAACAGTAACCAGTTCTTTGTTTATTTGATTGTTAGTTCGACCGATAACCGATTGGTACCTTAGTCGTTGCTTAATTTATGCCGTTGCTTAATTTATGTTTATCACCTCTTCAGAAATGGAGCGGCTCTTTCTACAACTGCGTTTTAGCAGCTGACAGAAGTGCAACAAAGCTCCTCAATATAATCGTAGAAAACTTCCAGTCATTTAGGGACTTTGCAACATTCTGTGGCAGGAAAGGTAAACAAACTTACCTCCTTTTCATTTCGGTTCTTTTATTATCAAATGTCCTGACGTCACTAAATGTCATTTCTAGTGTCCCTTCTGAAACGTGCACAAATTTTGGTAGCGGATGTATACGGCGCACTTCATGCGGACGATCCCTCTTGTGATTTTAAGGATATAGGGTACGTTTCTGATGAAGATGTGAAAATTCTTGGCACATTTATTGGCTATCTTTCTTCATTCAGAAGTCTGACCATGTTTGCTGATTATCGTGTTCCCCAAGCTCTTGCTTATCTGGGTGCTTTGGAATATTCTACAGAATTGATCAGGTTGCTGAAATCGGGCGAACATCTCCCGAACGGAAGCGCCGAAGAAGTGGAACTACGAGGAGCATCGATCTGGGTCTGCGAGGTGAGGGCTGCATTTGTTTGAGAAAACATCTTGTTTTTCTTTAGTCCTGTTGCATAGTTGCTTGACTTTTTGGGCTTATCGGAAAGATTTACTTCAACTTTTATCAATGTTCATTCTTATTCACATTATTGTTATTATATCTGGAAGTTCTGGAAGTCTGGAAGTTTTCATGTGCTTTTTGAACAGTATGACGATATGATAATAGTCATTGTTTCGTAGTGGGATGCTTTGTCGAGAATGTGCTGCTCGAGTTCGGAGGGGCAGGGAGGGAGGGGGGGGGGAAGCAGAGTCTCTCCTTACCTGTGTGGATCCAGGTCGTCTACGCTTTCGTAAGACCGAGCATGGGAAAGGAAAGGGATCGCCAGCTCGGTGATAGTTCGCAGACAGGGCACGTCGTTCCTCGGAGATCTTCACTGAGTGAAGTGGTACTTGGTCACTGGAGAGAGGGGGAATAGTACTTTTCTTTGATAGACATATATTCTGTTGTTGACTTTGCTCCGTTCTTCCTGTTCCGAGTCTTTATATATAGTGTAGTTCGCTGCGGACGGTGGGGCGTGTCAGGCAGGATGAGTTTGGCGCGGTGCCAAACCCGTTCTCCACCAGTTGTTAAAGCGAGCAAGTGATAAGACTGTATCATATCGTTCGTATTACTCGTTTTCTACCACTTTTTGTCGCATGCGCGCTTCAACAAGAAGGCAGAGAACGGCTTTGACGGTGTGAACACTCATACTGCCCGACACGCCCTAACCGTCCGCAGCGAAAGAGTGTACTCCATCCCTCATCGTCCCCACTCACCGGCAATTTTTTTCTGAAGAAAAATTGGCGAATTTCAAGATGGAAAGCTCCGCGGAAGTCGTAGGAAGTTGGGAATGTTCAGGTGCTAGGTAGTCAGCAGGTATAGGATGGGGAACGGGTCAGAGGAAAGATTTTTGGCGGAAGGTCGCATTGTAAAAGTTTTCCCAAACGGCAGAACGTGCCCTGTGGTACAGTTGAGCAGACTAAGTTGCATGGCCGCGTGTCCACCATCATTCCTACAAACTTAGTAGCGTGAAACCAGCATCTTTTCTCCCTTTTGGAACCGTTTTGAGCGTTTCTTTCTACGTTTTTTGACTGACATCCTCAAGGATTATGAATATAGTCGTATCATTTTGTGAGAGTACCATTATGGAACTAGTAAAATGGAAGTAACGCCTCCATGAAACAGCATTTTTTCCTTTCTGATTTATTCCTGTCATAAATGTCATAGTTCTTTTTGCAGCAAATTGTTTTGGCCATTCAAAAGTTGCGTGCTGAGGAAGGTGATGTCACCAGGCCAATTCATGCTATGGACGTCGACATTTTCGCATGGGTTTATCGACGTAAACATGCAGCTGAAATTGAAAAAGCGGTGAGTGATGGGTGAAATAAAACGAATTGTCTCTTTGGTCTCGATTTTTACCCATGGTTATTCGAGAAGAGGAGTTGTAGTTTCCCCATTGATTTTTGTGGATTGCAGCTTGGAGATAACCGCCGTAGTATAATTTTGAAAGAAGTGAACGTAGAGAGATATTTTGGGGGTATGTTCAGAGAAAGTCTCCCCCCTCCCCGACGTGAGTGTTGTATTTCTAGTCCTGCTCTGTCTTTCCAAACCAATGGTAATTTAGTGGTATGAAGTGAGGTGTGGGAGTTATGCAGCGAAAAAAACCTGTTCCTTAGGCAGCGTTCATACTTCGCGACAGCAGCGGCGATCGCGGCGACCTCGGCGATCGCCGCGATCGTCGGTACGTGGCAGAGCGCGCCCCAACGCTATTATGGACTGCTCGCTTGATAAATAAGGAAATCCAACTTGTGAGACCTTTTCTCTTAATAATGGCTACTAACTGATAACTTACGACTTTCTATACATAAGCGGATCTGGAATATGAGGTAAGGAGGTTTCACTTCTTTTTAGGCCAACTCCATTTCCTGGGTGAGCTTCTTTTTGTTTCTTTTGTTTTTATTGTTTCAATTTATGCAAGCGCCTTAAAATTCCTATCGTCTGAACTGTTCCAACTTCCAAAACATTTATAGTTTACAAGTCGAGTTCAAACAACGAGAAAAAAAAAGAAACAGAAAGAAACTCACCTAGGAACCAAAACACTAATCATTTTACGCAACATCAACAGGTGAAAACTTTATAACCTCATGTATAAGCTCGACGAATGAAAAAAGAAACAATAAAAACCTACCCTAAATGAAGCTCTCACGCTTTTTGCTCATTTCTATCCTGAATCAAGAAAGAAAATAGAAAACAAAAGCCATTAAGTTGGGTTCACCTTTCTTTGTGTCAAACCAAGCTTCAGTACCTAAGAAAATTGCAGTTAAAGGAAAAAAGCATGAAATTGAGTCGCTTCTTCCCAAAAGCCTTCGGAGCGCAAGTAATAGCGTTGGGGCGCGCTCTGCCATGTACCGACGATCGCGGCGATCGCCGAGGTGCCGCCGCTGCTGTCGCGAAATATGAACGCTGCCTTAACGCCCTCTGGTTGGATTGGTGATCCCTTCACTCACGTCAGTTCCTGGAGAACCAGAGTGAGCCTAACATAGTCTGACCGCGCACCATACCCCCCCCCCCCCCCCTCCCCCACTGTCAGCTAAGTCAGCTTCCAGGATGTATTGAGCAGTTTATTTGAAACCGTTTCAGGTTCCGTTCCACCGTACACGCTGCATTTACTACTAGTCACAATGAAATATAGGTCTAGTCATCTTTGCTTTGAAAAAAATGAAGAGGGTCTTAAATTTTGCTGTGAGGGCATATTTTGTTTTGGTCTTGATTCTGTTGTTTAGGTGAGATTTTGTTGAATTTTGATATTTTATATGATCATTACTTCACTTGTTTTCTTGTCTCTATCTTGCCATGTTCCATTGCCCCAGACATTCCTTTGTGAGCTTTTCATGATGTGCCTATAATTAAATTGACTGTTGTGCAATAAAATGATTTTCCGCATAGATTGACTTGAGACATTTCACATCACTTGCGAACGTAATGCACGATTACCTCGGAGACCTTAAATTTTCAGGTTGTTGGTTAAAACTGATTTCCAGGCTCAGGATGTTCAAGAAGTTCGATGAGAAGGAGGACATAACTGGAGCAACCCAGCTGAAATCTTCCATTCAGGCTTGTTTTCCTAGTATTCATTTCTTGGTTTTCAATAGTGTTTTAACTTGGCTTCTTTCCAACAGAAAAAAAATATTCTACTTGGAAGAGTTCGCTCCAATTTCGTGTTTTCAGAAAGGAATCAGGAACAAAATAATTGAATCGTATCCACATATCGAACCATTTCTAGCCGACATCCTACCTAAAAAGGTGATTTTGCTAGCAAAGTTTCCTTTTTTTCGTACGTAGTTGGCGGGGGGAGGGGGAACTACTCAGCCGCGCCTTTGTGTCTCTTCTTCTGACCTGCGCTCAGCCCTAGAGCGCTAACAACCAGGTTCGCCGCTAACGACATACGTTTGGGGTGGGGTAATGCTCTAGGCTAGACCA